GTAGTAGTAGTAGTAGTAGTAGTAGTAGTAGTAGTAGTAGTAGTAGTAGTAGTAGTAGTAGTAGTAGTTAGTAGTTAGTAGTTAGTAGTTAGTAGTAGTAGTAGTAGTAGTAGTAGTAGTAGTAGTAGTAGTAGTAGTAGTAGTAGTAGTAGTAGTAGTAGTAGTAGTAGTAGTAGTAGTAGTAGTAGTAGTAGTAGTAGTAGTAGTAGTAGTAGTAGTAGTAGTAGTAGTAGTAGTAGTAGTAGTAGTAGGTGGCAGCAGAAGTAGAAGTTCAGAGGAGGATGAGGAGGAGTAGGAGGAGAAGGCAGAGGAGGAGGAAGAGGAGGAGTAGGAGCACTAGTAGTAGTAACATGATGATGATCAGGAGGAGGAAGAGGAGGAGGAGGCAGAGGAGGAGGGGGAGGAGGCAAAGGAGGAGGAGGAGAAGGAGGAGGGGAGGAGGCAGAGGCAGAGGAGGACGAGGAGGAGAAGAAGGAGGAGGAGGAGAAGGAGGAGGAGGAGAAGGCCTTGAGGAGCAGGAAGAGCAGGAGAAGGAGTACGCGTAGGAGTAGGAGGAGGAGGAGGACAAGGAGGAGGACAAGGAGGAGGAGGACAAGGAGGAAGGAAGGAGAAGGAGGAGGAGGACGAGGAGGAGTAGGAGGAGGAGGGGGAGGAGACGGAGGAGGAGGAGGAGGAGGAGGAGGAGGAGGGGAAGGAGGAGGATAATGGGGAGGATAATGGGGAGGAGGAGGAGGATGATGAAGAGGAGGAGGAGGAGGCAGAGGAGGAGGAGGAGGAGGAGGAGGATGAGGATGAGGACGAGGAGAAGGAGGAGGAGGATAAGGATGAGTATGAGTATGGGTATGAGGAGGAGGAGGAGGAGGAGGAGGAGGAGCGGCAGGAGAAGGGCGGGGAGGAGGAGCAGCCAGGAGGAGGGGAATAGCCACGGCCACCTCGCCGATCGTGGGCGAACAACGCCGTGAGCTCGCCCTGCCGTCAGGTGGCCTGCTTTAGCCTCGCTCGGGCCTAAGGCCTGAACGTTGGCGTTGGGGGAAGTACTGAAACTATGGTGCACGCTAAAACGTGCGACGTAGTGCAATGCAAGACGAAACAAGTGCCAGCGCAAAACAACGCGGAGGAGAATACGTGCTGATGCTCACGCGCTCAAACCCAACACTGACACAAACTGCTGCAAGCAGACTGGGGGGGAAACAAATGAGATCATCGCACTTCTGAAGCTCGATGGCGTGCTTCTCAAGAATCAGCCGGCACCCTAGGGGGTGCAAAGCTGTGAAACAACAACGGCTGGACAGCTGTGCTGTTTTCTCTGCTGTGTCTTTCCATTTCTTGTGTCTTGGCCACAAAATTGCGACTTGGGGGGCCCGCGATGCACAAAGGGAACCTACAAGATGGCCAGCAGGGCCTGGGGCGCCTCCAGGACAGTCCCAGGCGGCCCCGTTGAGGGCCTCAAGATCCCCAGACGGCTCAAGATGACCCAGACATGCTTCTCAAAAGAGGCCCAGGCATCCAAGACTCCCCCGAGCGAGCAAAACACACGAGCAAAACACATTCTGCGATAGATCTTTTTTGTGCAATTTCAGCGCTTTGCTTCCGTGATGTCCCAAGTTCGCTTCGTGATGGCTCACCCATAATGTTTCCGACGACGACCCCAACGCGGCCCCCAGATGCCCCAAGATGCCGCCCACATCGCCCAGGATGACACAACAATGCTCTGCTACAGACTCAGCAGGCAGTCAACATGGGCCTCCCGAGACCTCAAGATAAGTAGCCCAAGATGAAGCCCCAAGATGGCCCTCAAGCTGTAACAGCATAGCTACAAAGTGGCGCACCAAGGGGGGGGGGGGCAGGCGGCAGAGGCCGATGGATCCAACCTCTCGTGGCGACGTCGAGACCCCAGGGTTCGAGGAGCACCCTGGGGTCAGTTCTTACCCTTTCGCTTTCGCCCCAACGCTCGGAACAATTGCCACGGATCTTATTTGGACGCCCGAAATGGGTACGGGAAAAATGGGTACAATGGCCGACAACAAATGTTGTCCCAAACCAACGGCGGCCGCTGTTGGGCAGGCGGCCTTCTGTCTCGAATGGACACAGGCCGCGGCGGCGTGGACAGCGAGTGCTGTTCAAAACGAACAGGATCCGCTGTTGGGCATTGTCCCCATTCTTTCCGTGCCCATTTCGTTCGTGCAGATCTTGGGGTCCACCCAAAAGTGCGACCGACAGTCGGGCCTTCCACTGGCCCCCCTCCCGGGAGCCCCGCGAGACGAGGCATCGGCCGGCGTCCTCGCGGACGCTCTGCTCCCAGCGGGGGGCTCGAGGCCCCTCCGGCCAGGGTCGGGGCTCCCGGGGGCCGACCTCCCCTTCGCAAGCATGCCTCGTGCGCGTGGAGGTAAAACGACGCGAAGATCGGGACAACATCGGATCGGGATAACTCGAAATCTCTGAGAATCGGCGGGTTTGGAGGGTGTATTGGGCGCCGCGGCCGCTCCAGAGCGTTCCGGAACGCTCTGAGAGCGCTCCGGAACGCTCTGGAGCGATTTATCCCGATCCTAGCCCTGTTTTAGGAGGCATCGGTCACCGTCCTTCCAGGCGCTCCACTCCGAGCTGCCAAACCCCCCGAGGCGCTCCAGGGCGCTTCCTTCAGCATCGCCCGAGCTGCAGCCGTGGCCTTGGGTACTAGCTCGACGGAGAGAGAGAGCCTGCGCAGGTGACCTTCAGCCCTCTCCACCGCCCCTCAGACTCCGCCTCCTCCTCCTCCTCCTCCTCCTCCTCCTCCTCCTCTCCTCCTCCTCCTCCTCCTCCTCCTCCTCCTCCTCCTCTCTCCCCTCCCCCTCCTCCCCTCCCCCTCCTCCTCCTCCTCCTCCTCCTCCTCCTCCTCCTCCTCCTCCTCCTCCTCTTTTTCCTCCTCCTCCTCCTCGGCCTCGCCCTCGCCCCTCGGACTCGTCAGCAGTGCGGCACGGTCTCCCCGCCCCCGAGTGGAACCTCGAGGGTCGGGCAACGCACGTCTGGGGCTTCTTCCCATCTGGCGGTGTGGCCGGACTCCGACGCACCCCACCGCTTCCCGTACGCGTCGGTCTTCTGCTGGCTCCACGAGACGACGTTCGGAAGGTTGGCGCTGCAGATCGCTTACCTTCGGCTCCTCCGTCCGCAGATCCTCGTTCGGGGGCCACGTGCCCAACGGGCTCACATCGAGGCCGCGCGTGGCATCAGCGCAGGGTCGTGACCGAGGGGTCCAGCTCATCGTGGCGGCGCTGACCTGTCGGGGCTCGAGGAGCGCCCTGGCAGCGAACCAAGGTTCGAGCGGCCCCCTGGGTCTCGTTCTGACCTTCTCGCTCCAGCACCGTCCCTGGGAATGCCAGCCACCCATCCTTACCCAGTGCTGGCCGTGCTGAAGGGTCTCCCATCCTGGCCGAGGTGCTGGCAAATCTCGGGGAGACGTAAGACCCGGGTACGGGAGACTCGGAAATCCCCGACGAGGTCGTCAAAAAAATGACGAGGCCGAGCCTGCATTTTGACGAGGCCGAGCCTGCAAATGACCCGGGTCTTACGCTCCCCCGAAAATCATGCGGACCGAGCCCTCGCTCCCTCGCACCGCGCGACGGAGTGCCTGCACGTGGCCTTCGAGCCTGCGGTCGTCGCCCCTGCCCTCGGGCACGGGCACGTCAGCAGCAGCAGGCGCAGCAGCTGTCCCAGACTCCCGACGTCGCGATACTCTCACAACGTCGACCCCCAGAGGTCTGGGCCCCTTCCCCAGGACCGGTTTTCGTCCTGAATTGTTTTTTGACGGTCCCGAGGCCTGGGAAGGGCCCCCGGAGGCCGGAAATGGCCAAAAACCTCCCGTCGGGTATTTTTCCCAGAACGCAGGGAATGTCTGGGGCTGTCGTCGATGAAGCAGGCGACACACCGTCTCTGCTGCTGGGGCTCCTGCTGGGGCCGCCAGTGCTGCATACATGCGGCGCCGCCGGCGCAGGCGAGGCTGGGCCAGCGGTGTCGGTGCCTGCTCCCTCCGCCTGCGCCCGCCGGCAGGCGTCGGGCTCTGTGCCGCCCCCGCGTCCTGGCGCCGCCCCTTCGCCGGAACGTTTCGAGAAGCTTCGCGCAAGCCGCCGCCGTCTCCTGACGCCGCCTCTTCGCCTCAGCCGGACGCCGCCTCCTCGCCTCTTCGCCCAAGCGTTTTGAGCAGTGTCTTGTTTTGCCGCCGCGCTGCTCCCTCCATCACCCAGCGCGACCTCGACGACATGAATTCATCGTCGACCGCGAGGATGAATTTGCACGGCACGGGCCGGGCAAAGAAGGCACCGAACGAAGGCCACAGTCTGTTGAGTAGACCTCGCAGGAGCACAGCTGCTCCTTCGAGAACTTGAACGGTGCCGTCCGAAAAGGCGAACCCCACTGCTCATGCGGAGGCCGCCCGCCGCACTGTGAGGATCCCGAAAGGTGCTCGCCCAGACTGCGGAACACAGAGGACGACGGGGCGGCGAACGTGAATCCCTCCGACTCCTGCACGGCGTACTAAACGCTCGTCGAAAAGGTGTGCCCCCTCGCCCACGATGTCGGAAGCAGCTGCGACTCGCCATCATCCGCGTCCTTGGGGGAGTCATCTGAAGGCGCTGCGCTGCCCCCGCGAGGCAGACGACCGCATCCAGGGCCGCCTCAACCGCTGCCAACAGACAGTTGAGGCGGCCCACCTCGCCTGATAACTCAATGATCGCCCTGTCCGCCGATGCGCGCGCCCGAGCACGGCCCGCCTTGCGCTCCGCTGCAGAAGGGCGCCCATCGCGTCGGACAGGGGCTGAGCGCGGATCACCAGCGCCCTCCCGCACCACCCTCTCAACAGACGACGAGCGAAGCCAACGGCCGCAGACAGGAGGGACATGCCGAACCAGCTTGAACAGTGTGGTGCTGTCGATCGTTGCTCCACGGCTTGCACCAGGCACAGGCACCGAGGGCGACGGGGCGACGAACGTGAATCCCTCCGACTCCTGCACGGGGGACAACATGCTCGCCGACCGGGTGCGCACCCGCGCCCACGATGCCGGAAGCGGCGGCCCCAGCCCTGGCCCTGGCCGCTGCCCCAGCCGCGGCCCCAGCCCAAGCCCCAACAGAGCGCAGGAGGCTCCCAAGAGAGCCCCAGGAAAGGCTCCAGAGCGTCAGCGTCGTCGTCGCCGCTGCCGCCGCCGCCGCCGCCGCCGCCGTCCCCCTCCAGGGTCGGCGGCACCGGCCGAAAAGGTTCGCCCCCTTGTCCACGATGTCGGGCACGGCGGACTCGTCCTCGTCCGCGCCCACGGGGGAGGCGTCCATTGGCAACCAGGGGCGTCCACATTCACGCACACGGAGGCGGGGCCTCTGCCGCCCGCTTCCTCCAGGACCGACGGCGATTCTCCCCGCGCGAAGTGCGAGGCGACGTCGTGCACCCACCATGGGTGCTCGCCGAGCTCCCAGAGCCCAGGCCGGCACGACGGCACCGTGGCCAAGCCCGCGCCGAAGTGGCTCTTGACCTCCTCGTCGCCCGAGCTCCTCCTCCTCCTCCTCCTCCTCCTCCTCTTCCTCCTCCTCTTGCTCGAACTGGTTCTTGAGTTCCTCCTCCTCCTCCTCCTCCTCCTCCTCCTCCTCTTCCTCCTCCTCTTGCTCGAACTGGTTCTTGAGTTCCTCCTCGTCCTCCTCCTCCTCCTCCTCCTCCTCCTCGTCCTCCTCCTCCTCCTCCTCCTCCTCCTCCCCCTCCTCCTCCTCCTCCTCCTCCTCCTCCTCCCCTGTCCGCCCGAGGGCCGAGAGCCGGTGCCTTGGACGAGTCGTAGAGGCCGGCCTTCGTGTACAGCTTCACCAGCAGGTCGGTTGCCTGCCAAAGGCCGTTTTCACTGAGGGGAGGTTTGCTAAAGGGAGGGGAAACTGGGACACACAAATAAATACACACAAATAAAAAGATTCCCCATATTTTCCTATATTTTCTGGGTTTTTGTCTTCCCCACCACCTCCCATATTTTCCCATATTTTCTGGGAAATCGACGATTAATTGTGTCTGTGTGTTTTTTTCCCTCCTGATAAAGGGAGGTTTTTGTCCACCGCCGACGATCCGACTCGTCGCTTCGGTTCTGGGCCCTCCTGGCTCCAGGTCGGGGGGCCGCTTCGTGGCCGGGGCTCGCCGTTGCCCGAGAAGCCGACCGTTGGCCCCCTCTGTTCCCGAGGGTGGGGGGTCATGCCGAGCAGCACCCCGCTTGCCTCCGGGGTGCCTTGGGGTGTCCTGGGCTTCGATGGCTGTGGAGGGGCGACGACACGATGATGGTAGTAACGATGACGACGATGACGTCGATGTTGATGTCGATGCTGATGTCGATGCTTATGTCGATCATGCTGCCGATGATGGCGGTGATGATGGTGACGATGCTGGCGAGGAGGATGATGGTTACGGTGACGATGACCGTGGTGATGGCGATGATGATGACTCCGTACCGCTGATCAGGATGGAGAACGAGCCCGCTTTGCCTGCACAGACTGCCAAGACATCGGTCTCTGCTTCTAGTGTCACGCACTCAAGGCCGTGCCCGTGCTATTATCGCACGCGTGATCCACCAAGAAAGCGTCGGGAACGCATGCCACCTTCAACCGCAGCAAGCAGCATATCACTTACGAACCTATTTTGGTTGCTCAGCTCTAGATGATAAGGATGCTGCTGATGTTGATGGTGATGGTGGTGTTGATGCTGATGATGATGATGCTAATGATGATGCTGTTGCTGTCGTTGATGATGACGATTTGAATGGTGATGATGCTGATGATGCTGATGATGATGATGATGATGATGGTGAGGGTGATGACGACGATGACGATGACGATGACGATGACAACGATACTGATGATGATGATGATCCTGATGATGACGCTGATGCTGATGATGATAGCGATGATGATAATGACAAAGACGATGAAGACAACGATGATGAGTATGATGCTGGTGATAATTATAATCACGACGATGCTGCTGATGATGATACTGATGATGGTGATGATGGTTAGGCTTCCTCATCCGCGCAATCATCATCCTCATCCCCCCCCCCACCATCATCATCAGCATCACCATCGTCGTCATCATCATCATCAGCATCATCACCATCGTCGTCATCAACACCATCGTCATGCTCATCATAGTCATCGTCATCGTCATCATCATCAGCATCACCATCAGCATCGTCATCATCATCATCAGCAGCAAAAGCATCATCGTCATCATCAGCGCGATCGTCATGAGTATCACCATCATCATCATGATCATCGTCGCCATCATCATCATCATCATCATCATCATCATCATCATCAGCATCCTCTTCATTACCACCATCATCGTAATTATCAATAACATCACCACCATCATCACCACCACCACCTTCATTTTCATCATCATCACCCTCATCATCATCATCCTCATAATCATAATCGTCATCATCATCATCATCGTCATCATCATCATCATCATCATCATCATCATCATCATCATCATCATCATCATCATCATCATCATCATCATTATCATTATCATCATCATCATCATCATCATTATCATCACCTCCCGTCGCGAAGCGAACAGCTCATGGCTGCAATCTTAGGCAGTCTCTTCGCTTTCGGATGCCTTCCGGCAGCTGAGCCGCGTCGGGAGCGTCCAGGGGGGGGGGGGTCCGCACGGTCCCGATCGGCCGCTGGAGGGCCGAGTCACGGCCCGGAAACCTGACAATCTTTGGCCGTTCTCGGCCTCGGGGGGCCCTTTACCGGGCCCTGGAGGCGTCAACAGAAACGCCTCGGGACAGAAAAGCTGGTCTCCAGGGAGGGGTCCAGAACTCCCAACAAGAACCACGCTGCGACAGAACACCGCGTCTGATGCCTGGGAACGTAGACGCAGTCCGCAGAAACGCTCCACCTCCTTCCTGCTGGGCTGCTGCGTTGGCACGCGTGGCGGAATCTGCCGCGTGCAGCCGTGCACCGTGCAGCGGCCCACGGTGCACCGCGCCACAATCAGCGCGGCGTCTTCCGTCCCGCCCCCTGGCAGTCTGGGCAGGGCAAAGGGTGCGGGGCCTCAGCCTCCGCAGGTGGCCAAGCGGACATATGCGTCGAATGCCGCGACTGCCTGGCCACATGCGGGCTGGCAAGTCCAGAGTCGAAACAACTCTCTTTGCACAACTGTGCCGTGAATAGCCCCTTGCTGATCACTCGATGGCCTAATACGGCCGAGAAGCCATCACCCCAGCCCGAACCGGACGCCTTTTCAGAGGCTCCCACACGGTCCCCATGGTCCCCATGCCCTGAACCATCCGCCAGCACCAGAGAAGAGGCCGTAATCGCAGTGCCAACCAGCTCAGGGAGGGCAGAGGAGGATGCGGAGGAGGAGGAGAAGGAGGAGGATGAGGAGGAGGATGGGACCAGTGTAAACACAAGACGCATCAAAGATGTGGCAATAAATCCTACCTTCAAAAGCCCTCCTCATAGGTCCCTACAAGGATCCCACCAGCCCTGTAGGGCGTGAGTGGTTTGGCGGGTTTCCTCTTCCAATCCCCTTCTTCCCCTTCGTGGAGGGGCTTGCCCCTCCCCTCCTCCTTTCCCCTGGATCTGGACGGGGCGCCCCGCGACCGATCAGAGCGTCAAGGAAGGCCCTCGGGGAGGAGGTACAGCTCGTTGATTTTACAAACATTTTGGGCCCATTTTTGCCTCCTGGGGCGGGGGCCCAAGTTTCCCCCCCCCCCCCCCTCCCCCCTGCCTTGATCGAACTCCTCCAAGATGGCCCTCAGATGGCCCCCAACGCTCCCAAGAGTGTCCCAAGAGGCGCTCAAGGTCCCCAAGAGGTTCCCAAGAGACCCCCAAGAGGCTCCAAGAGGCTCCCCCGAGGCACCCAAGACGCCCCAAGAGGCTCCCAGGACGGCCAAGAGGCCCCCAAGATGCTCCAAGAGGACTCACAGAAACTTTCAAGAGACATCCTAAGAAACCCCGAGAGGCATCGAAGAAGCCTCCGGTCATTCTGTTCGCCCTCCTCCTCCTCCCTTTCCCCTCCCCCTCCTCCTCCGATTCCTTATCCATCCTCCCTCTCTTTGGGTATGGCGGCTTTCCCAACCCGCTGTTCCACTGCATGCGCTTCCACATAATTGATCAGGGCAACTCGCCTGGGCATCGTTTCTGAATGGGCTGGTGGGATTAGGCGAAGCGCCTAGAATTCATCTTCACTGCTGGAAGTGCCCCGTTGGAAACAAACGTTTGAGTATTCTCAATCGTGCCCAAACGCTACCCCTTGGAATTCAACGCCGCGAAACAACTTCACTGTTGCTTCCCGCTGAGCCTGAACCGTGCCAGAACACCAATTCTGGGGCTTCACCACAGCGAGCCAAAACGACAACTGTGCCCTGACAGTCCTAAACCGTGCCCGTACACCCTTCCTGGGACGTTTGCAATGGAATTCAAACTGCTGCAATCTTTGAGACGAATGTGCGCGGCGCTAATGCGAGACCACATTTTGAACTAACGCGGTCTAAATCCGTGAAGCTCGCAAGACTTTACAAACGAATGTGCGCGGCGCTGGGGCGAGAACCACATTTTGAAAACCACCCGACTTCCATCCGTGAAGCTCTTGTACATTTTTCAGACGTGTTCGCGCAGCGCTCGAGCCAGAACCACATCTCGGAGACGGCCCGCCCTCCACGCGTGAAGAGGGTGCGAACTTCTACGCTGCAGCATCGACCGTAAGCCGTGAGGAGGTCTCGGGGGAAACGCCCGGCCCACCTTACCAGCATGTCTGGGGGTGCGACAGGGAGAAATGACTTGGAAGGAGGAGGGGTGGAGGACGCGGAGAAGGCGGGGAACACTCGTAGGAGGGGGGCAGGGGAACAGAGTGGGGAGGTGAGGAGCAGGCCCGGCCACTCCGAAGGGGCCCAAGGACACGCAAATAAATACACACAGTTCCCAGGATCCCCCATCTCTTTCCGCATCTTCTGGAGCTTCGCCTTCCCCCCCCCCACCTCGCCTATTCTCCCCTACTTTCCGGCGGGTCGCCGACGAATTGTGCCTCTGTGTTTTGCCCTCCTGGCCACCCGTGTGCGGGAAGCACACGCGCACCTGGGGGCCAACCCGCCCTCGGCGTGCTCGTGCTGCACCCTCTTGCGGCCGAGGAGCCCGCGCGCCCGCCCTCCCTTCCTCCTCGTCGTCGTCCTCCTCCTCCTCCTCCTCGTCGTCCTCCTCCTCCTCCTCCTCCTCCTCCTCCTAGTCCTCCTCCTCCTCTCTCCTCCCCTCCTCCTCCTCTTCCTCCTCCTCCTCCTCCTCCTCCTCCTTCCCCTCCTCCTCCTCCTCCTCCTCCTCCTCCTCCTCCCCCTCCTCCCTCTGCTGCTTTCTCTCTTCTCTTACCTTCTTCTCTCGGGCCCCGTCGGCGTGGCGGTCCTCGGCCCCAGGGGGGCGCGTGGGCGGGCGTGTGGACCCCCCCCCGCCCCCGAAGGGTATGGGACCCACAGGGATCTGCTGGTAGCTAGTACTACATGTCCTCCTTGGAGGCGCGCGCGCGTCCGACTGGAAGATATAGTATACAGTTTACCCCTCTTGCAGTACACCGTTTCCCGAGCGGTATGGCCAGAAAGCACCCGCCACGACGCAGATACTACCAGACTTCTCCGTGCGCGCGTCGCCCCTGGGGGTCGACGCACCGCACGCATAGTATTAGCATGTTGGGGTGACGCCGACGGTAGGCGGTGTGGACTGGACCATTCCGTACGGCTGCGTCTCGGAGGAGGAGGGAGAGAAGGACGACACTATGAGGAAGAAGGAGCTCCAGAAATCGATGGGCAAAGCAGACGTCGTCTTTGAGGACCCCGTCCCGCTAGCGTCCTGGTCGAGTGCTGCGACCCGGGTCGCACGGCCCCGCCCTCACCCCCTGGATCCGTACTGATCCTGTCAGCCCCGCCACCTCAAGCGGGCGGCCGGGACCCCCGCGACTCCCTTGGCCTCTTGGGGGAGGCGGGGAGGAACGCGGACGTTCTGGACTCCAGGCTCCTCATTGGGGGCAGCAATGTCACGATCATCGTCATCAGCACCATCATCGCTAGCATCGTTGTAGTTTTACTTTCGCCAGAAAAGCGATGGGAGTTCAACCGTATTCGCCGTATACTCCTGTCGTCATCATCCACCATAGTCGTCATCGCTATACTTGTCGCTTGTGTTGATGGCTCTATCCCTTTTCATCTCACCTCGCTACCATCCTCCTCGGCCATGGTTCATGCGACGGGCCTCTTGCTTCTTCGCGGCGGGCATGTCGTTCAGTGATGCTGGCTGCGCGCCAAACATGATCGGGTTCTGTCGGCGCGAGCTGCATGATAAAAAAGGGCAGCACTTCAAAGATGTAGCGTCACTGATTTGCGCGAGGTACCACCATGACTCCCTGTCCCTCACGAAAAGACAACATAATGGAAGGTGGGGGCGGGAGACAGAAGCAGAGGCATGAGGAGTGCGAAGATTGAAGCGACCAGGAGCAAGCGAGAGGAGGGGTGTTATATAACATTCATGACAACCCATGCGTCGTGACATGCCAATGTCACCCTGCGTGCAGAGGGCTCTTCTGCTCCTCCATCCCCCTCTCTGTCTCCTTCTCCGTCTCCTTCTCTGTCTCCTCCTCCTCCTCCTCCTCCTCTTCCTCCTCCTCCTCCTCCTCCTCCTCCTCCTCCTTCCCTCTTGCTTCCCCTATCGAGCTAATCCTCCTCAACCTCTATCATCTGCCTCCTCTTCCGTATCCACCTCCTATACAACTCAACATCTGCATTAGAAGCACGCCACGTCCCTCTGCAGGAGGAGGGCTCAAACACAGTTCAACAAATAATCTGGGGACGATTTTTGCTTATTTTGTTGACAATCTTAGAGCTTTGTGAGGGTTTTGGGCTATTTTTGATTTTTCCTGCAATCTTAGAACTTTGTAAGGGTTTTGGGCTATCTTTGATTTTTCCTACACAACATTCCTGGCCCTGGGTCGGGCATGCCCCTCTACAGGAGGGAAACTCAAAAACGGTACAACAAATAGTCTGGGGACGATATCTGCTTCCTCTTGGACAATTTTTCTGAGCTTTGAGGGTTCTGGGCTAGGTTTGATCTTTCCTGCAAAATCCGCCTGTGCGGGGACATGCCAGACCTAGCCCTGGCCCAGCTCCCCGCCCGCCTCGCGCTCCCAGCCCGCCCCCCTTGGGCCTCGTGCTGCGCGCCCTGTGGAGGCCCCTGCGGGGGGGGGCAGGCCCCGCTCGTGGTTTCGAGGCGGGGCCCCTGGGCCTCGTCGCGAAACAGCGAGAGATCATGGCCTCGACTCGCGACAGCGAGCTCTGGTAGCCACCCCAGCAAGCCGAGCACCCGCGCCGAACTGAACAAGAGCCAGCGTGTGCCGCCAGCGTGGTGTGATCAGAGCCCGCAGGGAAAGAAACCGCTGCCGATGGCGATGCCTCCGGGGGGCACGATGGGCCAGCGGGTACAGTAGGAGCTCGACCACAAGAAACCTTCCACAGGAAACACAACCCTGGCACCCCACAACGTCCTTTGATTTTTGGTGTGGGAACGCCACGCCTTCCACAGCGAAACCATCGAAACCCAAGAAACCCAGGGCACCCTGGAGGCAAGCAGGGTGTTTCTTGGCATGGGGTGGCGTCGTTTGTGTTTTGGTCGACGATGGGCCAGCGGGCACCTCTGGCAGCGTGCTGCAGCCGAAAAGCGCGGCAGCAGCCGCGCGGGCCGCGAAAACAGGCCCTCCCCTCTGCCGACGGCCCGGGGCCCCGTGGAGAGTGGCACGGACGGGGCAGGCTCCAGGGCGGGAAGCCGAAGCACTACCCATCGGTCGGAAGAAGTAGGTAGAAACATGGGGTAGGAAGGCGTTGAAAGTAGATTGGGTGTCCGCCCGCCCCCTAAAAAGGACGGATAAGGGGAAGCCACTAGATCATTGAAGTAGGAAGGCGCTTAAAGTAGATTGGAATCGGGGAATCCCAAGATACCTACTTTCAACGATCGATGGGTAAGGGCGCAACGGTTAACTCGGGCATGTTCCTCTACAGGAGGAATATTCGAGAATGGTGAAACATAGTCTGGGGACGATTCTTTTGGCTGTGGCTGACTACGTTTGGATAGGTTTTGACTAGTCATTTTGTTCTTCAGAAATCCGCCTGTGGGAGGACATGCCCGACCTAACGCGAGGGTCGCCCTCCAGAGCAGGGGGTGATGTTTTCCCGTGCCCGCTGCAGCCTATGGAAGGGCGTGCGGGCGCTGCCCCGCAGAAGCTCGGGCCCCAACCCGCAACCCGAGCCCACCGCAAGGAATCTGGGGCCTGTGCTTAGGTCGGGCATGTCCTCCTGCAGGCGGATGTTCGACGACAAGAAAAATTAGCCAAACAATATTCAAACATAACCCTAAACAGTCAAACGATCGTTCCCCGATGATACTTTGACTATTCTTGAAGATTCTCCCCGGTTATTTTTTGGGCAACTTTGAATGTTCCTCCTGCAGAGGGACAGGCCCGACTTAAAGCCTGGGCGGCGCCCGTCGAACTCACTGCGGGGCGTGTGGGTGCGCCCACACGGGCGGGACACGGGGCGACAGCTCTGTCGCTCACTCCCCACGCCTGTGCTTATGCACCTGACCTCTCGCGCTCTCGCCCTCCCGCCGTGCCTGCTGTTGGCCTCTTGCTGCCCTTCCCCCCCCCCCGTCGGCGCCGGGCAGCCCGTGCGCCTACGTATGGCAGGAGTGGGGAGCTCGAGGACAAGAGCTGTACCGCTGGCAGCGAGCCTCTTTCGGCCTCCGGGGGCCCTCAGCAAGCCCGTGGGCCTTCAAACAACGACTCGGGATGAAAAGCCCATCTTTGGGAGGGGGCTCAGGCCTCTTGGGGGCCACGTGGCGAAGACCGCACGATGTCGGATGCCTGGGGCCTGCTCAGCAGTATCTTTTTTCGAAGGAGGGGCCCTTCCTGGGGCACCCATCGACGACACCTAGGAATATAATGCCCCTCGGCAAGGGGGAGACCTTTGGTGCGCGCCTCGTGGGGGCCACGTGGAGCCGAATCCAAACGTGCAAGCCGCGTGAGACCAATGTTGGTGGGGAGCCCCTGACGGCTCGCACCAAAGGTCACTCTGGCGAAGGGTCGCTCCTCGCTCCACGCTCCTCGCTCCACGCTCCTCGCTCCTCGCTCCCCCTCCTCCTCCTCCTCCTCCTCCTCCTCCTCTTCCTCCTCCTCCTCCTCCTTCTCCTCCTCCTCTTCGCTCCTCGCTCCTCGCTCCTCGCTCCTCCTCCTCCTTCTCCTCCCCATCCTCCTCCTCCTCCACCCCCTCCTCCACCTCCTCCTCCTCCTCCTCCTCCTCATCCTCCTCCTACTTCTCACTCAGACGCGAAGCCGAACCCAAGGCTTGGCTGTCCCCGGCGCTCGCGGCGGGCGCGCCTGCGATTTGCCGCCGATGACGGCGCCCAGGGTTTCCAGGTTCACCTGCGCAGCAGCTCACTCGCCAGGCAGCGTGGACTCAAGATGCGCCGCCGTTGCTGCGGTGGGAGGGGGAGGAGGAAGAGGAGGAGGAGGAGGAGGAGGAGGAGGAAGAAGAGGAGGCGGAGGAAGAGGAGAAGGGAGGAGGAGGAGGAGGAGGAGGGGAGAGTTTGTTCCCCGCCGAGAGAAACAGGGGGGGGGGTGCAAAACTACAAAAACCTCCTGAGGTTACACCCTCCCGTCACAGGCCCCATTCTCAGAGGTGCGCGGGGACGTCGGTTGGCAGCAGGGCAGGTCCTGCTTTTGCCCCGCGGTCGGGCGGGTGGCAAGGTTGGGTCGGGCATGTCCTCCTACAGGCGGATTTTGGCAGAAGAACTAAAACACAGGCAAAACAATAGGCAAACAAATACTCAAAAATAGCCAACAGAACACGAAACATCGTCACCAGACTATTATTCAAGTATTTTTGACCATTCTCCCTGTAGAGGGACATGCCTGACTTCATGGGCACCAGGTGGTGCAGAAAAGGGCCCTAAAAGGGGCCCCTTAGAGTCCCTGTTTGGAGCCAGCAGGGGCCCAAGAGGGGAAGGGCATCTTTTGGGTCCCTTCTCTGCACCCCCACGTTTGGGGTCGTCACCCGCCCGATCGGGGCGCCGGAAAGCTGGGGGTCCTCCGGTGGGGGCCTCTCAGATGGGGTCGGAGCACAGTAGATGGAAGGATAGCGCCGCACCGCTGATGCACCGCCGATGCAACGGCGATGCATCGCTTGTCCCGCGGCGCTGGAGAGCTGGGCCGTCCGGTGGAGGCCTCCCAGATTGGGTCCGAGTGCGTTGGGTCGAGGGAAAGCGCCGCACCGCCGATGCACCGCCGATGCATCTCGGCGATGCATCGACGACGCATCGGCGATGCATCGGCGATGGGGCGCGATCCACCGACCCCATCTACGGTCAGAAACTTTTGGATAGCGTCTCGCCGCGGTGGCCCCAGCGACACGCTATGCCTCGCGAGTGGATGAAGGATAGCGTGTCGCTCCACTCCGCGGGGCGGGAGGCTCGGGAAAGCTCAGGGCGCTGACCCCTGGGGACCTGGAAACGGATAGCGTCTCGCGCCGAATCTTGGTGGGCCAGAACCGGCAGAGCGACATGCTACCCCAAAATTCCCAACCGTAGGCTGCTCCGCGATCCTCGCCGATCACCTCCTCGACCCTCCTGGATCCACGTCATCCTCGATCGCTCGATCCTCCTCCTCGCTTTCCTCCTCGATCCTACTCCTCGATCACCTCCCCTGAGATCCGACGTTGCGAACAACAAAAATGCAACAACGTGAAAAATCGCGACTGGAGCTCTAGACTCCGTGCTTCGTGATGGCCCCGGGGACCCCAACTCCCGGCGCAACCGCCCGGTGTTAGCGATTGCAGCGCCCAGATCTCAGGGCCCTTTCTGAACCTCGATCCTCGTCGATCCTCTTCGATCCTCCACGACGGCACTTCCTCCTCCTCCTCCTCGATCACCTCCTCCTCGATCCTCCACGGCGGCACCTCCTCCTCCTCCTCCTCCTCCTCCTCCTCCTCCTCCTCCTCGATCACCTCCTCCTCGATCCTCCTCGATCCTCGTCGATCCTCCTCGCTCCTCCTCGCTCCTCCTCGATCACCTCCTCCTCCTCGATCACCTCCTCCTCCTCGCTCCTTCTCGCTCCTCGTCGCTCCTCGTCGCTCCTCCTCGCTCCTCCTCGATCACCTCCTCCTCCTCGATCACCTCCTCCTCCTCGCTCTCTCGCTCCTCCTCCTACTCCTCGCTCCTCCTCGATCCTCCTCGCTCCTCCTCGATCGCCTCCTCCTCGCTCCTCCTCGCTCCTCCTCGATCCTCTTCGACGGCACCGCCGCGCCCCGGTCAGGCCGTGCGCGCCCAAGCGGCACGCCGCGCGCCTCGGTGAGCAGCTCCGCCTGCTCGGGCATGCCGCGCCAGAGGGAGGCGGCCCACCGCTGGGTGAGGTCCTGGGGCGGCTTCCCGAGGCGGTATGGCACGAGATGGGCACAGCCTCCTCCTCCTCCTCCTCCTCCTCCTCCTCCTCATCCTCATCATCATCATCATCATCATCACCATCTTCAGTATCATGATTGTCCTCATCATCATCACCATCATCATCACCATCATCATCCTCATCACCATCATCATCATCATCATCATCATCATCACCACCATCACCATCACCATCACCATCACCATCACCATCACCATCATCATCATCACCATCACCATCTTCAGTAGCATGATCGTCCTCATCATCATCACCATCATCAGCACCATCATCACCATCATCATCACCACCATCATCATCAGCATCATCATCACCAGCATCATCATCATCGTCATCATCACCGTCGTCAGCAACAGCATCAGCATCATCATCATCATAATCATGGTCAGTCTCATTATCATCATCATCATCATCATCATCATTATCATCATCATCATCATCATCATCATCATCGTCATCATTATCATCATCATCGTCTTCATCATCATCATCATCATCATCATCATCATCCTTATCAGAATTAGCATCATCAACATCATCACCATCGCCATCATCATCCTTATCAGCATCACCATCATCATAGTCGTCATCATCAACACAATTATCATCCCCACCAGCGACATCCTCATCACCATAAGCATCGCCATCTTTGCCATCACCATCACCATCACCATCATCATCTGCATCATCACCATCACCATCACCACCATCATCATCATCATCATCATCATCATCATCATCATCATCATCATCATCATCATCATCATCATAACCACCAGCAGCAGCAATAGCACCATCGCCATCACTATCAGCATCATAATCACCATCACCATCAACCTCCTCCTCCTCCTCCTCCTCCTCATCATCATCATCATCATCATCATCGAACACTTCGGGCAGCAGAGGCAAGACATGCCATCATGGAGGTGCGAGGATGAGGCCCGAGCCCCAGACGGGCGGGGCCGTATGCCTGTTCCACCTCACACGCGGCGCAGGTCCAGAGCCAAGGCGGGCTCGAGCCCCTAGGGGCGTGATCTGGTGACCCCGTGGTCTGGCCGCCTGGTGACCCGCCCCCACCCAGGATCCGCGTGTGAGGCCACCCCCCGCTCACATCCCTCCTCAGGAGGGGGAGGAGGAGGAGGAGGAGGAGGAGGAGGAGGAGGAGGAGGAGGAGGAGGAGGAGGAGAAGGACGAGGAGGAGGAGGAGGAGGAGGACGAGGACGAGGACGAGCACGAGGAGGACGGCTGCGACGGCAACGACGGATCGCCCGGGGCTACCGCCCCGAGCGGAAGCTTGAGCCAGTCTCCAACCCCTGCAGGCCAGCTCGACAAGGCCGGGCCTGCCCCCCAAAGCAGTACCCATCGGTCGGAAGAAGTAGGTAGAAACATGAAGTAGGAAGGCGTTGGAAATAGATTGGGTTTCGGCCCGCCTCCTGAAGAGGAAGGAAGAGGGAAAACCACTCGACTCTTGAAGTAGGAAGGCGCTGAAAGTAGATTGGAATCTGGGAATCCAAAAATACCTACTTTCAACGACCGATGGGTATTCAGGTCGAGGCCCCTCGAGGCCCCACGGGGCCACTCGCCTGCGGCGCCTGCGGCGGGCTCCGCCCTTCTGCGCGGGGATCCTGCTTTTGGCGCTCCGCGCGGAGCGCCAAACGATGATGCTTATGATGGGCGTGTTTTCCACCACCACCACCATAAGTTGGAGGGGGGTCCTCCTCCGCCTCCTCCTCCTCCTCCTCCTCCTCCTTCTCCTCCTCCTCCTCCTCCTCCTCCTCCTCTTCGTCCTCCTCCTCCTCCTCCTCCTCTTCGTCCAACTCCTCCTCCTCCTCCTTCTCCTCCTCCTCCTCCTCCTCCTCCGCCTCCTCGCCCTCCTCGCCCTCCTCCTCCTTCCCCCCTCCAACTTATGGTGGTGGTGGTGGTGGAAACCAGGCTCACCAGCTTATTGGGCGCCCGAGTTATCCGGGGTAACTCGGGTCCGGGGTAACTCGGGTCCGGACTCCCGAAAAAGGAACCCGAGTTAGCCCTGGGGCTCTGAGCTTATGCTTTCGTTTTCTCCTTCGACGCCACGGTGTGTGGCCGACGGCTTGCCACAGATGCCCCGGCTGCTCCCGGTCTCCGGGGCCCCGCGCGGGCCTCTCGGGCCTCGGAGGGGCCCGCCCCCCGTGCAGCCAGGCAGCCTCTCCTGAACCACGGGGGGGGGGGGGGGGAAAGGGAGCGAGGAGGAGAGAGAGGAGGAGAGAGGAGGGGGGGGGGAGGAGGAGCGAGGAGCGAGGAGGGGGGGGGGGAAGGAGGAGCGAGGAGGGAGGAGGGAGGGGCGAGGAGCGAGGAGAGAGGAGGAAGGGGGAGGAGGTCGGGGATCTTCGGACCCGGCATTGGCCGTGCATTGCGCCCACGTGCACTGCCTCGCTGCCACCCTCCCCCGTGGTCGCTCCCCCGTGGGTAGCTCCCTCGCGCGCCCCCTCCCTCCCTCGGCTGCCCCTCCGAGAGACGTCCGCACTGCGTGGTTCCCTACGGGTGAGCCCCGTGCTCCTCGCCAGACGCATCGCTGGGGGGCGGGCGCGGGGGGGTGAGGGCTCACACACGTTGCGCCTCTCTCGGTCTCAGAGCGTTCACTTTTGCATGACGTGCGGGCACTGCGTTCATAGCCAATTGCGTGGGCTTGCGTGGGCCAGTTGCATAGGCGAGAACGTCTCACCGCACTGGAGGCAGGCAGGTGGGCGAAGCAGCTTAGCAACGCCGAGACTCGGCCACACGCCAGAGTGACCCTAGGCAAGAGTGACCTTTGGTGCGCGACTGAACGGGGGACGCGGGGGGGCCAGACCTGGGCGCGCAAGCCGCTGTCACCGCTTCGCGCTCAGCGATCGAAGGACCCCACATGGCCCGCACCACAGGTCTCTCTGGCAGAAGGTCACTCTTACGCCCAGTCGAGAGGTGCTTCGTCGCTCGTATCCTGACCTCCCAGAATGCTGAAACGTGACCCTCCAAACCTCTCTGGAACGCTCTGGAGCGCCCACACCCGCGACAGGAGCTTCGGCGCCAAAGTCCTGGTGCTATCTCTCTTGGCCCTCCCTGGAAGGCCCGGGTGACGTCCCCCTCGGCGACTGCGTGGGCTCGCTCGCGGTAAGTCGGGCCTGTCCCCCTACAGGGGGATTTTCGACGAAAAATTAAAAACACCCCCAAAAATAATCAAAAGAATTGTCCAAAAATAGGCTGGGGACTATTTGTTTTCCAACCTTTTTAACATCTTTTTGGTGTATTTTTCATTTTTCGTAGAAAATCCCCCTGTATGGGGGGCACGCCCGACACAACCGCTCGCGGCCTCCTGCCCCCCGGGGGCCTCGGCCCGCCCCCCCGCGGGCACCTCGCGAGGCCGCCCGCCCCCCCCCCGCGCGCCGTGGCCGGCGCGACGGCGGGCCGCCCCGGCGTCGGGCCCGCCGCGGCGGGGCCGGCGCCCAGCGCCGGGGGGCTGCCGAGCGCGGCGCCCGCGCGCGCCCCCCCTGGCATTATGTCGGGCGTGTCCCCCTATTAAGGGGGATTTTTCGACGAAAAAAAAAAAAACTTTAAAAAATACACCAAAAAGGCAAAACAAAAAAATAAGCCAAAAATAGTCTCCAGACTATTTTTGGACTATTTTTGGATTAGTTTGGGGGTATTCTTTTTATTTTTCGTCGAAAATCCCCCAGAAGGGGGACAGGTCCGACTTAACCCTGGCAGCCTGGCGCCGTGGAAGCTGTCGGCGGCGAGCGAGGCGGGGGGGAAGTCAGAGGGAAAAGGCCTTCTCAGAAGGCGGCGGGGCTCCTCAGAAGCCCCTCGGCCTTCTGGAGAGGTCTCCTGTGCCTTCGGGGAAGGCTCAGAGCACTCCTGAGAAGGACGGGGGGCTTCCGAGCCTTCTCAGAAGGCCCGCCCCTTCTCACTTCCCCCCGGGGCTCGCCGCCGAAACTTGCCGTCGCTCGGACGCCCATGCCCCGTGCGTGTTTCGATTTCGTGAGTGCATTTTGGTCGCAAGATGGCCCAATACGCTCCACGGTGCTCTTCGCCGCACACGTCCGAGCGATGTCGAGGAAGAGGTCACGGCGCACGCGGCGTGGAAAGGTCACGCGTGTGGCGCCCATGGTACAGGGAGGGCATCGGAGAAGGAACCCTTGGATCAGAAATATGGTGTTATATGATGCGCCAACCTACTTTGGCCTTGATCACCAGAAAGAATGTCGAGCGCCACGAAATTGTCAAACTTGTAGGGTTTTCAAGTGCAGGGCCCTGGGAGGCGATACTCGCTCGACACTGCGCTAGCGTGTCGGGCATACACTGTTTCGACAGTTTTGGGGGTGCTCGAAATTATATCTGGGATGTGGTACTGAAGTACGATGGGTGCAACATACATCCAGGGTGTGGAAGCCAATGGAACGCCAATCGTGCCTTGACATTGGATATCACTACCGCGCTCATCAGGCAACACTCCTCAAGGGTCCGGAGACTCCTGGGCACATTCCTTCACGAATGCCCTTTCCGTATCCCCTGGCATTTTTCGCGTTGTGGAAAAAACGAGCCCAGCACGACCCCGACTAGGGGACTGCTTGGAATATCTTGGCATTGCCTTGCCTGGTTTGGCATTGCTTTGCGTTGCTTGGCGCTGCTCGGCGTTACTTCATATTGCTAGGTTTTGCTTGCGAATGCGTCATATTGCCTGCCGGCATTGCCTGGCGGCATTGCTTGGCATTGTCTTTCATTGTTTGCAATGCGTGGCATTGCTTGGCATTGCTTTGTGTTTCTTGGTATTGCTTGACATTGCTTGCACTGCTCGGCATTTATTCACAATTCTTTGAATTGTTAGAATTTTCTTGACATTGCTTCGCATTGCACAGCATCGCTTGGCATGTCTTTGCATGTCGAGGCGTTTGTAGTTCTCGCTTGGCCTTTCTTGGTATTTCTTGGTACTTGGTAGTGCTTGGCATAGCCTTGCACTGCATTGCATGGCTTTGCGTTGCGTTGTTTGGCCTTCTTTAGCGTCGCTGAGCATTGATTTGCGCAGCTTGGCATTACTGGGATTTCTTGGCATTTCTCTGCCTGTCTTGGCACTGCTTTGCATTTCTTGGCATGCCAGTGCGTTGCTATGCATGGTCTGAAACATTCAGAAGGGAAGCGAAACCAAAGAACCTCGGGAACCCGGGGAACCCGAGGAAGTCGGGCCCTTCCAAGACATCAAGGAAACAAGACCCAAGGAATATAAGAAGACTGGGCAGCCCCGAGGAAGGCCGGCCGGCGCAACTCCCGTGCAGGTCCCGGGCAGCTCCCAGGCAGGCCCCTGGCAACTCCTGGGCGGTCGGATTCGCAGAACTCCTGGGGACAGTCTTCGGGGCCCTCAAGATCGCCCCAGGAGCGCCCAAAGGGACCCCCATTGGAGCTCCACGGGGGTCCACGAGTCGGGCTCAATAGGTGGCAGACCTCAAGATGGCCCGAATACAATCCCAAGAGGCCTCAAGACAGCCCCAAGATGGTCCCAGACAGGCCCATAGGGGCCCGCAGAGGCTAAATTTCTGTGGTTCCCCAAGAGGTTTGGAAGGAGTTTGGCGTCGCCGCCTTTTCGGGCTTCCGACCGCCCAAGACGGCCCAAGAGGCCCCCAAGGTCGCCTCAAGTCAGACCAAGAAGCTCCGAGGACGACTCCAAGACGCCCCGAGAGGCCCCAAGACGGCCCAAGGGGCTTTCTCAGAGGGCTCCAGAGGCCCCCAAGAAGGTCGCAAGAGGGGAAATCCGAACTGACATGTCGAATCCTGCCCTGAAAGATGGCCCCCGAGACCGCCAGCAGGCCCCCGAGAGGCCCAGGAGGTGCAAAAGATCTCCCGAGAGGCCCCAAGAGGTCTGCAAGAATACAGCCAAGAGGCCGCCGAGAGGCCTCCCAAGAGACCCCAACAAGCCTCCCCAAAAAGGGGGTCCTGTCCACGACCCAGTTTGGCCTCAGGAATGCCCCAAGAAACCATCAAGAGGCCTCATCCTCATCCTCCCCTCAGCTTCCCCTCATCCTCCTTCTTCTCACTCCCCACGAGCACACCAACATACAGCACCAGCGATACACTATGGGCCGGCGAGATGAGCGAAGCTTGAGACCTTCGGCAAACCCAATTGGAGAATCATGGCGAGGAGGTTTTTGGGGCACCTCGGTTTCCAGGGGCCATGCACAGACCAGGATGAAGGGTCGCTCCCCGCGGAAGAGGGGGGTCCAGACCTCTCGGGGGCCACGCCGTGCAACAATAAGACGGCATCGGATGCCTAGGGGCGTGGCCTGCGCCCGCTGGCGGGGCACAACGAGCCACGCTCGAAGCCCTCTCGCTCCGCTGGATCTCGCCGAGCCCCCCGTCACCGTGCGTGCTCAGGCCGACGATCCGAAGGACACCGCTTGGGCATCGCTTCCCGGCTCGCGGCGCACGCTGATGGTGGTCGGCGAGGCGCCAGTGCGAGCGTGGCGTCCTCCCTCCTCCCGACCTCGTCGCTGCTCCTCTCCTCCTCGTCCTGCTCCGTCCATCACACAATTAGTGTCAGTACAACGCTCCTCTCTCCCCTGATGCCGTATTGTGTGGGAGCGCCCCCCCTTCCCCCACATGGTCTCGCAACCAGGATTTACACACATTTTTGTCTGTTTGGCTTTGGGATCGGACAGCGTCTGGTCCTTCAAACATTATCTTCCCGCTGCAACGGTGGCCCCATTCTGAGGTCAGCGTGCTAGTCCTGTTGTTCGTAATCGGGCCACATTTCTTGACACGATGAGTTCATCGTTGTCGTCGTCCTCCCCATTTTACATCCTCCGCCTTTCCCTGGTCCCCCTCTTCCTCCCGCTCCTGCTGCTCCGATTCCTGCTCCTCCTTCCTCATTATCCTGCTCATCTGCCACCTCCTCCTCCTCCTCCTCCTCCTCCTTCTCCTCCTCCGCCTCCTCCTCCTTCTCGCTTGCCCAATGTGTAAGGCCCCCGTCTCTGATTGCGCATCACACAATGGCGTACCTTAGAGGACCAAGGTTATCTAGGACACCCCAGCCGGCGGATAGAGCTCAATTCGACGCAGTGGAAGAGGATGTGTGTGAGGGGTCGGGTTTCAGATGCATGGCGTGCGCGCGCGCCTAGCTTGCCCCCCCCCCCCCCCGCCTCTGCCTCTTCCTGCCCTGCCCCCAGTCTGCCTCCTGCTCCTCCTCCTCCCCCCCTCCTCCTCCTCCTCCTCCTCTCTCCTCCTCCTCCTCCTCCTCCTCCTCCTCCTCCTCCTCCTCCTCCTCCTCCTCCTCCTCCTCTTTCTCCCCCTCCTCCTCCTCCTGCTGCTGATCCCCGGCGCTCCTCGACCCTGATGGGGAACTGGGACTTCGTGGGCGGGTCCTCCGCCGACCCTGGCGTCCACTTGATGGGGAAGCCCGCCTCCGCGCCCGACGGCGCAGGGGAGGAGGAGGAGGGGGAGGAGCAGCAGCAGCAGCCGCAGAGGGGAGAATGGGAATGGGAGGAGGAGGAGGAGGAGGAGGAGGAGGATGGGGAGGAGGAGGAGGAGGGGGGGGAGGAGGAGAAGGAGGAGGAGGAGGAGGAGGAGGAGGAGGAGGAGGAGGAGGAGGAGGAACCTAGGAACCTTGTGTGGGGGAACGTCATCCCCGCGGGGGCGAGGGCGTGGGGGGTGCATCCTAAAAAAAGATGCTACACTGTCAATCTAATGTTCCTGGCATCGACCTGGCGCTACCCCTTCTGAGCCCAATGTAGCTTTGAGGCTAGCTTAGCAAACCTCTCTTGGCCGAGTGGATGGGAAACCCCCAATCGCTTTCATTTCATACTACGCTGTCAATCTAACCCGGCAGAATGCTACTCGCTGCTACGCCCTGATAAAGCACGAGCTTGAAACGAGCTGTCGGTGACATGACTGCGAAGACTACGCTCAGTCGACGAAGCCAGGGGCAACAACAACATTGAGTAGAAGACGATGGAAAGTGACAGAGGGAGGAGAAGGATCAGTCGCTTCGGGGGGCTCCCAAGAGGGCCCAAAGACGGTCCACGAGGCCTCCGATGTAACCCAAGATAGCCCCAAGATTGCTCCCAAGACCGCCAGCAGGCCCCCAAGAGGCCCCCCAGAAGCCGCATGGGGCATCCAGAGGCTTAAAAGAAGCTTACTAGAGGCCTCCCAAGAGATCCCGACATGCATTCAAGAGGCATCTGAACGGCAACCGTATTTAGGCGCGTCGGCGGGATGGGCCGAAATCCGCGACCCTGGGATGGGTACTCATCGTTACTATGCACGTTGATTGCAGAGCGGGCAAGAGAGAGAGAGAGAGAGAGAGACAGAGAGAGAGAGAGAGAGACACACACACATATATATATATATATATGCATACATATATATATATGCATACAAATAACTGTAGAGAGAGGGGAGAGAGATCAAGAGCGAATGAGAGAGAGAGAGGGAGAGAGGGTCAATGATAAGGGAGAGCCCCTCACCTCATCCGAACCATTTGTTCTGTTGGTGGGTGTGAATGGCAGCGGTCGGCTTCTGGAGAGGCCCTTTACCGGCCCAAGACACAAGATGAAACACCTCCTCCCTCCTTCTTCTCCTTCTCCCCGCCGCGGAAAAAGGATGGATGATGATGCGCAGGAGGAGGGAAGGAGGACGGGGATGAGGAGGGATGATTATTCTAGGCGGAGGAAACCAAAAAGTATCAGGCAAGCGTGCTAGAACGGGACGACACAGAAGGGAGGAAGTACCGGATGAACTACGGACGGGGCAGCGACGAGGAGGAAGGGCGTTCGAGCAAGGCAGGGGCAAAGGAAAACGGCACAGAGAGGAACACATAACAAAGGGGAGGGGGGGCATGATCAAGGAAGGGGGAGAATGGGGGAAGACGGACGGAGGGTGGTAGCGGCAGGAAGGATGAGACGGGAAACCTACCTGGAATCGAGGAATATACGGGATGGAGGTGCGAGGGGGCGCGCCAATGAGTCTGAGAGGCCAAGGGGCCACGCGAAGGGGCGCGTTGGAGGATTTCTGGGAGATGCGCCAACGAGCCTACGAGGGTCCCCCGGGGCCGCTTTAAGGTTTTTGTTCGGACTCTTGGGCTGTCAAGGAGCCGCTCTGTGTCGCCACTCATAGGTCCCCTCTTCAAATACAGCCGGAAATATGACCAAGAAGCTGATCACTTAAGAAACCTGGGCTTGGTTTCTGGAAGTTTCTTCAGACACGCCTGGACCAAGGTTTCGTGTTGACGATGGAAGGGGAAAGGAGCTCAAGAAACTGGTCCAGCTGTTCGGCAAGTTTGCCAAGAAGCGCGGGCCGAGCTTTTTCTGGAGGAGGAGTCTTAACCAGATGCTCGACTGTATATGAGGGTCTCCTGGGGCGGCTTTAGGGTTGTTTTCAAGCTGTTGGGCTGTCAAGGGGCCGCTCTGCGTCGCCACGCCTAGGTTTAAGTCGGGCGTGTCCCCCTTCAGGGGGATTTTCGATGAAACATAAAAAATACACCAAACATTTTTCGTCGAAAATCCCCCTGTAGGGGGACACGCCCGACTTAAGCCTAGGTCCCTTCTTCAAACGGTCCCACAAACGCGCGTGCGGGGCAACGTTCGTGGCAGCCTGCGGGGGGGGGGGACGGGGACAGCTCAGGGAGGGGGAAAGCCTCGACCCGGAATCGGCGATACGCCGCCGGCCAGTGGATCGGCGATGCGGCGCAATAGCGCGGCCCGAGCCAGGAGGCCGCCGTGCCCTGCGCGCTGCGCGGCCCCTCTCGCGCCGCGCGCGGCGGAGAAGCGACGCTGCTTGCACGCCGACGGCGGCTCCCACCTCTGCGGCCCCCGCGGCCACACCCGGCTCTCCTCCTCGCCTGTGCCCTCCTGCTTGGCGGCGCCCGCACGGGGGGTGGGCGCGGGCTCCTGAACCGGCGGGGCGGGGGCCTCCTCGGCAGGCACTGGGGCCTCCTCGGACGTGCCCCGGAGGTCTCCAGGAAGGCCTCCCAGGAGCCTCCGGGGCCCTCCTGGGAAGGCCTCTGCCTTCTACGACCCACCCCTCCGCCTTCTCAGAAGCTCGCCTCGCGCCACTCTCCTGTGGCCGCCGACGACCTTGTGAAAGTTTTCTTACTCGGCGTTTCGACATTGGGCGCGGGGGGGGATGGAGGGGGCGGTTTTGGCTCCAGACCACCGCTTAGTGCGACTGTTTGGGACCGTGCGTCCTATGGGGGAGACCCCACCTGCCTGAAACAGGCGCCCCAAACAGCCAAGATCTCCTCCACAGGGGGAGGGAGGGGGGGGTGCGCGAGGGCCCGCGCCGACCGGCAAAACAATGAACAAGAGAGCGATCACCTCCTGTTCTGATGCCCAGCGCCCGACCTCGCCTCGTCGCCGATCGTGACCGAGGACGGGTCCCAGCCGCGCTCGGCCAACTTGCCCGTCAGGTCTGCCTCTGCCGAGCAGTGAGGCCCCGTGACCAGCAGCCCCGTGCGGAAAGAGAGAGAGAGAGAGAGAGAGAGAGAGCGAGAGAGAGAGAGACAGCAGGAAGCTGGATGGCGGCAGGCACAATTCCCGAATCCCTGAGGAAAACAACTCTGCTTCTCTCACCTTGGTCAGCCTTCTCCTTCTTCTGTGCCTCTTCCTACTTCTCCTCATTCTACTTCTCCTCCTGCTCCTCTCCTCTTCCTCTCCTCTCCTGTCCTCTCCTCTTCTCTCCTCTCCTCTCCTCTCCTCTCCTCTCATCTCTGCTCCGCTCCTCTCCGCTCCTCTCCTCTCCTCTCCTCTCCTCTCTTCTCCTCTCCTCTCGTCTCTCTTCTCTCTTCTCTCTTTTCTCCTCTCCTCTCCTGTCCTGATCTGCCAGCTCCTCTTCTGCCCGCTCCTCCTACACCTCCCCGCCCAGCGATGTCTATAGCAGCAATAGCCTGATCGATGCTGGGCTGCTGCTGGGGTGGGACACTTGAAAGCTACTGTGAACTTTGTTCCGCTTTGGATGCGTCCGTTCCCAGGGGTCTCCACGCTGGCCTCGAGTGTTCAAGATGTGCGGCTTCCAGGGCCTTGAAAACTTGGCGCTTGTGCGGCCCAACGGCAGTGGACCACCCAACTCTGCCAGGCCCTCTGCTAGCTTTGGGCGATTTTCCAAATCGTGGGGAAAAAACCAAGGCGTCACCATTCTCAACACTTTGGAATGACACCCCAATGTTGTGGTCGCACTCTGCGTGCTCTTAGGAATGATCCCAGGCTTTGAATTAGCGTTCCAATGATTGGGTCCCTTGCGTGAGGCTGCATTGGGCGGTTGCCGCAGGCAGAGGATTAAGGCATGTGCCCATCTTGGTCACTGAGGACGTGGTCAGCCCCGCAGACCCCCCCTTCTGAAATGCAACTCGTTTCTGTGCCCATGGCTCCCGATGCGCCGGGCGTTGTACACCTTCAGGCTCCTCTCTGGCATACGCAGACATCCAGGCCTCGGAAGAACTTGGCGACCACTCGTGTCGCATTCACTTGTCCATGCCCCCCTTCCCCCATGCTCAAAGTTGGCGGCGGGTCTGATGACTTGCACTTCGACCGCAGCATTCCTCGCGCGTGCCAACTTTGAATTTTGGGGCGGCAAGGGTGGACCCAAACGTTGCTTTCCGTTTTGTTTTCGTTGTGCTCTACCTGTTTTCTTGTACCTCCTTGCCAAAAACGAAAACAAAACAAAACAGAACCGAAGTCCAGCGAAACAGCGTTTAGGTCCAGCCCTGTTTGGGGGGAAAGGGGGGAGTGTCTCGAGCGAGAGCCCTGCTGGGACACGCCGCGTGCGCCCCTGCGCGCGCCCCGGGAATGGTCCCTGGGGGCGCGGTGGGGCCTGACCTCTTCGCGCGCGCGGGCGGCCGGCTTTGCGACGCTGTCTCGAGCGAGAGCCCTGCTGGAACACGCCCGGCGTCCATTCAATCTTTCCCTCTACCGTCCGACGTCGTCTCACCAGACGTCACGACCCCTTCCTGGGGACCAACTTTTCCTCCCGAATCGTTCTCGTACGGTCCCAGGTTGGCCCCTGGAGGCCGAGCAATGCCAACAGTAGTACGTCGTCGCCACGACGCGTGAGCATTCGCGTCTTGGCAAGCGAATGAACAGTTTGCTGACAAGGCTCGCTCAAAATAGCAGCGCGGCCTCCCATCCTGTGGAGTATGCGATCTTGATGTGATCCTGCGGCGAAGGCAGGGGAAATACACTTTGGAAAACGAAGGCGGACAAACACTGGACATACACACGAAATGCGGACACCCCGGGACAAACACCACGCTCAAGACCTTGACATTAGGAATCGTTTAGGATAAGGCGAGGCCGCACTTATCCAACATCGAACTGATGAGACCAGCCGTGGCTCCCGTGACAAAGCCCCGAGGTGTCACGCTCTCGAGGGAGAGGCGAAGGGGGGACGGAGAAATCACGCGGCGAGGCGGCGCACCACGGCGCTGCCGCCGCGCCCAGCTCATCACGACCAGGCCACTGGCCGTCCAAAAACGGGCCGAGCGCGTGCCAGAATCTCGCAGTGGTGGTTGCTCGGCACCTGTCTTTGTGCAACATCTGCGCGCGTGCGCGGGGCGGCACCTGGGTGCCCCCCCGGGGGGTAGGCAAGATCATAAGGGGATCAGAAGCTGGGACCCACGGGCCACAGCAGGCCCGCAAGGAACGCGTGAAGACTCAGAAGGCTGATCAGAAAGGGGGATCAGCAGGCACACAAGGAACGCGTGAGGACTCAGGCACACAAACTCATAGGGGGATCAGAAAGCCGATTGGGCTCCTGGGGCCCACGGGACGCAGTGGGCACACAGGGAACGCGTGAGGACTCAGCAGGTCGTGGTGCACATGCGGCTCGTGGGGGTCATGCGGCCTTCAGGCCCGAACGTCTGGTGCGTCGGAAATGGGGGCGTCACAGGGTCTCAAACTCCAAGGGCCATTGAATATCGCTTCCTATGGGAACCCATTGGGTTCGTCGGGCTATTGACATGACAACCTCGAGAGTGGCGGTAGGCATCTCGAGTCTCTAAAGGGAAATGCCATTGTGGGTATCCGCTTCTCGAGGCCCATGGGTTCATAGGTAGTGCCCACGAGGACATACGGATCAGAGGGGGGCTCAAGAACCAATCGAGCACATGGGCCCACAGAGCTCATGAAACGCGTCCTTATCATAAGGCAAACTGGCCTCAGAAACCAATCGAGACACGCGACAGGCTTGATTATGGGAGGTAGGGGCTCAAATGCTGTCGGCTGTGCCGAATTCTGGCCAACCCTTGCTTTCAAACCAACCCACGGATGCAGACTGCCGTGGAGAACTTTTGCGCTTTACCTTCAAAATCCTGATAAACAAAGAGCCGCGCATCCACACATATATATATATATATATATATATATATATATATATATATATATATATATATATATATATATATATATATATATATATATATATATGCAAGACTGCATTGGCGCTGCGCGCCATGCACCTTGGTCCTTTGGAATTCGCACGCTAGCGGACTGCGAGCGTGCGTACATGCGCACAGACATGCGCCTATGAATGCATAGTACATATGTACATCGATGTATAGGTTTGTATGGATATGTACATGTATATGCAAATGGTCAGTGTAACTCTGTGTGCGCGTACACATGCGTATATCAGGCGGTAGTGGCCTGACCAGTTGCTCATATCATCGCGCCACTAAAAGGCGCGAGGGTCTCAGGATAACGTGGTCAGACTACCATGGGACAATGCGTCACCGAGGTCAGCGTTGCGAGGGCGTCCCGGGTGAAAACGGCCTGAACACCTCCGCTCAGGGGAGGGCGCGTCCGAAGTCAGCCGCGCGAGGAAGTTTCAAGCGAGGAGTGGTCTGAACACCTCTGCTCAGGGCATCCTTGAACTTAGAGCTGCGAGAAGTCGCGCGCGAAAGTGGCCGAACCACCATGGTGCAATGCGCCTCCGAAGTGAGACTTGCGAGAGCGTCTCAGGCGACAGTCGCTGGAACACCTCAACTGAGAGCGTCTCGGGCCCCAGAGCTGCGATGATGTCTCCAGCGAAGACGGCGGGGCCGATGCGAAGCAGGGCGCTTCTGAGGTCGGACTTGCGAGCATATCTCTGGCGAAGCGGATTAGACTATTTCCGTTATCTCCTCTTCCTCCTTCCCCTTTTCCTTTCCTTTCCTCCTCCTCCTCCCCCCCCTCCTCCTCCTCCTGTTCCTCCTCCTCTTCCTCTCCCCCCTCTCCGCTTCTTTTTTTGTCCATCCTCCGTCCCCGGCGGCGCGGCGCGGTGCCGCTCGGCCACCCTGCGAGTCAAGCGGCAAAGGGTGATAGAACCCCCCCGAACTAGGAACGGTTTTTCCCAAGCCGCCAAGGGGGCCCGAAGGTAGCGCGAGAGGCGGTGCAGGTTTTGAAATCCCCCAGGGGCTCCTCGGATTCGGCCGGCCCTCTCCGGTAAGGTAGGCAAGGGCGCCGCGTCCAGGTGCTCAATCCCCCGTATCCCCCCCCCTCGTCTTCGTTCCCTCCTCCATGTCCCCTTCTCCTCGTCCTCCTCTTGGGTCCGTCGGTGGTTTGAACGAAAAATGGCCTCGCTGCGCCATTTGATACGACAGCGACGACGACGAAGAAGGCGACGACAAAGAGACGGGATAATGAGAGGGGGAGACCGCTGTGTTGGGATCTCGTGGTGCGCCTCTCGGGGCCCTCTGGGAGGCAGTTTTGAAGCCTCTTGGGGGTGTTTTGGGTTCTTGGGATCGTTTTGGGGCCTCTTGTGGGCCTCTTGGGGGCTCCTTGGGGCCTCTTGGGGGCCTCTTGGGGCCTCATGGGGCTCTCTCCGGGCCTCTTGGGGCCCTCTCGCGGCGGAAAATTTAGTTTTTGAATTTTTGGGCGCCCTCTTGGGTCTCTCTTGGGGCCATCATGGTGCTCTCTTGGGCCGTCTTGGGCGCCTCTTGGGCGGTCTCGGAGCCCTCCTGGACCGTGTCGGGGCCTTCTTGGGGGCCTCGTGGGCAATACTGGGGCGATCTAGGGAGCCTCTTGGGCCATTGTGGAGCGTCGGGAAGCGGGGAAAACGAGAAGGCAAACAAAATCGAAGAGCACACAGGAAAATCAACAATTGTAGCCTCTCGGGGCTCTCTTGGGAGGCCTCTTGGGGGTCTCTGGGGGCGTCTGGGGCGCGTCTTGGGCAGTCTTGGGCCCAGATTGGGCGTCTTGGGTCGATCTTTGGGTGTCTCGGGGCCTTCTTTGGCCGTCGTTTTTTTTTTTTTTTTTTTTTTTTTTTTTTTTTTTTTTTTTTTTTTTTTTTTTTTTTTTTTTTTCGCGTCGCACTCGCAGGACAAGCACGGAACACTCTGCAGGAGCGCCCCAAAGGCTCGGGGAGGCCGAAATTCGTTTTTTGGGGGGGGCACCGTGTGCCGCTTTTCCGGGGTCCCCAGCCTTGTAAAAATATATAAATAGGAATAACATACAGCACGGTATCTGGGTGCCTTTTTCATGGGGCTTCGCAGTGTATAGCTTCTGCCAGTGTATAGTGTGTACAATGCAGTATATCATTTTCTCAGGCCGTATTATTCAATGCAACGCAATACAAAACAATACAATACAACACAATGTGTGATATTTCCTCGCTTCAGGGACATCGTAGAGTGTATATTGTTCTGGCCGGTTCTCTGGGCGACAGATGTCGAACAACATATAACCACTGTGTTTGGGCCACCAGTTGCCACTAAGAAGTGAATAAACATAAGATGGTATGGTGGATATGTTTCTGGCCCCGATAAATCAATCGTGGAACACTTGCAAGCTACCTTCCACACTGGGCGCGTGTGAGCAGCCCTAGCAGTCATACAAGGGCTGTCTTGCTCACAAGTCTTCAGCCCCCTGACAGATGACATCGGACGCAAAGCCATCTTCGGACTTGCTCATGCTCGGGGGCAGTGTTCAACAAAGGGCCGATTCTGGCCCTCCGCTGGCCATCAACGTGGAACGCCGGCGGTAAGGTCGCCGCCGGTCGACGCGACGCGGGGGCCAGGACGTGAACACGGGTCACGAGCCCAACAACAACAGCAACAACAACAATAGCAATAATAACAACAAACATAATAACAATAAAGACAAAACATCAACAGCAACAACACCAACAATAATTTTAAGACTGTTCGCTCTTATCTGCTCGCGTGCCATTCAACACGTGTATCCCGAACCCTCGATATCCGCCCTCTTCGTCTTCGATTGTACCCCCTTAGGGGTACATCTTTCTCACCTGCAGCGTGTATTTAGTGAAGCCCTCAAGGCAGGGGAAGAGCGGACGGATGGAAAGAAAAGGGACAATGGAGAGGGAGGAGTATGGAGCACGAGAGAGAGAGAGTAGCAGGAGGAGGGCTAGGAACAGAAAACACGTGGCAGAACCAGACGGGCCGATCGGGCGGGTAGACCCTAACGGGCGGGTCGGGAAGGAGGGCCCAGGCGCCAGGTCGAGCAGGCGGGTTGCTGAAGCGTGCGTCCTGCATGATCCGCGAAGAAGTCTCAAACGATAGCGCGATTCCGAAATCAATCTTGAGGAAATCCGTAGCGAGAGCGTGATTCCTGAGTGTCGAGGGCGCGGCGTCTGAATAAATTGCAAGGATGTGCCGCGCGAGAGCGCGATTCCTGTATAATTTGTGAGGCAATCCCGCGCGAGAACGCGATTTGAGAATACACTGTGAGGAAATCTCCGGCGGGAACCGTTGTTGTGGTAAACCTGGGGACAGGGGCACAGCTTGGTGACACCCCACTCTCCCTTCCAAAAAAACAGGGCGCGAGCCCCGCGAGAAGAACTTGAATCGAAAGAATACGATGGTTACTGGGCAGGGGGAATCGACAATGCTTACTTTTCAGAACTGATCATTCAATAACAACACCAGTAACAACAGCAGCAGCAAAAACAACAATAACAACACAACCACCACCACCAACAATAACAGCAACGACACCATTAACAACAACAATCACAACAAAAACCACAACCGCAACCACAACCACACCATCACCAACAACACTCATGTTAAGACTGTTCGCTCTTATCTGCTGGGATGCCATTCGCCACCTATCCCAAAACCATCGATAACCGCCCTCCTCGTCTTCGACCGTACCCCCTTGGGGGTATATCTTTCTTACCTGGAAAGTGTATTTCGTACAGCCCTTGAGACAGGGGA